AAAGGGGAACTTTATATGTGGTGCCACTCACACGTGACCCCTATTCCCAACGTTGAAGCGTAATTTGGTTATTTTCCGTCAAAATATTATTTTTATTTCTATTAGGTGTAGGGGTGGTAATGGATTCGGACTTGACCCGGGACCTATCCAGCATACCCGACGTGTATCCGGGTATGGGTCCAACATTAGAACATGGCAGGTTGGGTCCGGGTCCAAAACTGGACCTGAATATTATTCAAGTCCGATTGGACCCAACATGTACCCGTAAACTGTTGGAGATAAAATACTTCAAGCCCTATTCATTCAGGTGTACTAAGGATCGTATATAATAGAAACTCGTAATCATCTTTAGTTATTAAACGACAAATCAGACGCCTTAAAATCTAAGGGCTATTGCAACCTTGTTGCCAATAATATGGGTATATATGATAGGAAAAAAAGAGCAAAAAAAAAAACAAGCTCATAGTGAAGATGGCAATAGACTTGACTAGACCCAAGACCTGATAGGTACGGGTATGGGTCCAACTTTTGGACTCGACGGGTCGGATCTGGGTCCAAAACCAGGACTCGGATACTATTTAGGTCTGGGTCCGGATGCAACCAATGAGAGGCATGCACCACTAAATTTTTATTGCTAAATAATTTATAATATAAAAATAAAAAATGAAATACTCTGAGTTATTCTATCAAGATCAAACACTTGGAGAAGTAACACGTAACATTATGCCTGGATTTATCCTCACCATCCATTTAAGTGGAAGGACTCGAGAATACGAGTCATATATGGCATACTGGTGGCTCCACATGTAAAATTTTCCAAGCGTTTGAAAGTCTCATTTGAACACACCCATGGCGATAAATTCTCTTTGTTCATGTACCTTAGTGCCCCACCTTGGAACCATTGAACCCAGCCAACAACCCAATTTTTGGCTTTATGCTAAATGTGGGAGACCTTTCTCCATCTTGTTGTGATCCTCATTAGGCTTTTGATTTGTCAGTGCATAATGGTCCAATCTGAATATAAAAGTAAAATGTTTATAAAAGCGGATCGGTCGGAACTCATTCGTTGGGCCAAGTCAGCTCAACTGTTGCCAGCAAGATTGGCCGGATCTCAGATTGAGCCTCCCTAAAAATGACCTAGGCAGTGGAAACTCAACCAAAACTGCAAGTATTTTAGACTAGTATGTCACCGGTTTGAGCCAAGCCAAAACTAATTGCATTTAGATTAATGCTTGCATGTCACCGTTTGAGCCAACTCGGGTGATTCAAAATCGGCTCACTAATTTCTAAAACATTGCATTGAGGAAATATGTTACACATACGTTGTGGAGTGGGCATGTTATCTTGGGCACTTACAACATCTACCTCTATGATGGGTGATGAAGGAGAATCTTGCTTGTAGCTCCATGGTACGGTGAATTTTATGTTAGAATTTAAGAGCTCTTTTAAATGAGGTAATAGGAATCCTAAAAAGTTGGATCCCATAAGAAATTTGTACTCATTCAGAAACAAAATAGGTGAAAGTACAAGCCATAATATGAAAAATGAAATATAAAACAACACGTCACAAGAATACAAAGATTTACATGGTTCACCCCAAAAAGGCTACATCCATGAGCATCGCAAGTAGAATTCTACTATAACAATAAAAGTTACATTACAGGTGTTGGAACACAGAGTTACCACTTTAATCCCCAACAAAACCTAGTTGAGCAACCCTTTTAGATTGGCTCTCCTGATTGGCATCACCTACTAATCTCTGATCAGTATTCCATAACTAAACTATTGGTCCAAGAAGAGAACCAAAATTTTCTCTCGCTAAAAGGAGAAACTACCCAAAATCTTCATAGAAACCACTACAGGAGGCGTCATCGCAGTGTTGAGCATTGGGGAGGCCGCATTGTAGCATTAAGCGTTGGAGAGTCATTGCCTCTCGTGCACATGAAGCCTATGCTTCTTTCTCTATAGAGGAAACAACTTTTCCCATATGGTGCACCAAATAAGGCATACATATTATTTTCTTGCTTATTTTATATATAGGTTTGTATAGAGTTAACAACCCCTCAAAATACAAAGGTTCAAGTTAAAAGGGGTTGTGATGGATGTTTTTATCAAAACAATCATCACCTGTTTTTATTAAAAATTTATTTAAATAGGTAATTTTACCATTAAACAAGGGAAAATTTGAAATTTTTACAAAAGTACAATGGCATTTCAGAAGTTAGTGTCCTGAAACTTTATTTGTAGAGTGCCTTTGTCCTTTAGGTAAAATTTCAATTTTACCCCTTATGGAGTTGACAAAAGTATCATTTGTCTTGTAGTAATATTTACAAAATTGGCCCACAAAAGTAACTTTTAAAAAAAAATAGACTACCTAATTAATAAATCAACCCTCCACAACTCTCTCTATCTTGAACGTTTGTAATTTGAAGGGTTGTGAAGTTTAGAGTATACCTTTATTTATATAAGATTAGAAATCCGCATTAAATAGGAAACTTCTTATAGATGCTACATATATCTAGAAAACCAAGAGACATAACCAAGGGTCCTAATCTTTTTAAACTTCTATTTCCTTTAGGAAACTTTTCAATATCAATCACAACTCTACATAATATGAGATTTCTTTATTTTTGGTAATTTTGGTGATATCATATCCAACCATCTCCACATTAATATCAAAATCCCATGCTCACCATGCCAACATCCACTGGAAAACTTTATGAATCTTTATATTTTACAAAATAAATTCCTTCATCACTTTTGCTAGAAAGATTGTGCATGTCATCTTATTTCTCCACCTCTAATAAAACATTTGTATACTTTGCTATGTGCATTTCTTCAACTGAATGCACAAATACTAACCTTGTTTTGAACACGTGCTCTAATACCTTGTTAGAATTTAAGAGCCCTCTTAGATACAAAAATAAGAATTTCAAAAAGTTTGATCCCACTAAGAACTTGTGCTTATCCAGTTATAAACAAAATAGGCGAAAATACGAGCTATATTACAAAAAATAAAGCATAAAAGTACACACGCTACAAGAGCGCAAAAAATTATGTGGTTCACCCTAAAATATGTACTTCCACAAGTATGGAAAGTAGAAATCCATTATATCACGTAATATGGTATTTTCTTATTTTGGGTGATTTTTTATATCATCATATGCAATACTTTAAGGGATGATAGTGGTATCAATAGTATGTTCTTTGTGATGACAAATTTGCATGAGGAACTACGTACACTGATTCTTATCGGTAAAGAGCAATTATTGTCTCGTGAAAGCGAAGTTTTTGTACTTGAGACAAGAAAATTAGTGGTCATTTGTATTCCAAAAAGCAAGTTTGTGAAACCTTCAATCTTTTTCCCTCGCTTTAGCCACCAAATTCACATTCTCATAGGCATCTTTGTGTGTATGTGAGAGAGAGAAGAAGAAGCAATGTTACAAACTGAAAAACATCATGAATGCAGGGTACAGTTTGTATAAGGCACGCAACTCAAACAACCAAAGTAATGTGCCCCTACAAATCATCTAAAAAAATGGAATTTTGGTGCAGGAAACTCTTATGATGATCTGAAAATATGTTTTTTTACCCCTAATTATGGAATTTAAATATTCAAAAGTGATGTTGTATACATCCTCATAATTATGGCTAAAGAAACTCCCAAGAACCTTTAACCCCTAAAATGTATTGATTTAGTGATCCCTAGTACACCATAAATATCGTTTAGATCCTAAATATATCAAAAAAATCCCCAATAACCTAGTTTAGTAAGACAATATCTGGAAATGGCAGGTTTCAAACTTAAAAGGATAGAGGATTTGAAGTTTACCGACCCATGTGATATGGCAAGATCTAACAGAGATTGAAACTGAAACCTGAATCTTGACCAAGAAATAGAGATTGAAACTAAAAACCGTAGGATCTATGTTCTCTACAATTTTAGAAGCTATTAATCCTCCGCAATAAATCACCTTTCAAGGAAAGCCCTAGGTAGCCCTTTCAAGCTCAAAATAATATCTGGTTCAAGCAAACACTAAGGGTTAAGGAGAAGAATGCTTCGCCATCTAAGTCTAATCCAGGTTCCAATTCCTGGTTCTAGGTTAGTGAGCCGGCTTGAATTTTTCCTTCCTCTTTTGATGTCTACACTTTAATTTTCTAAAGTTCTCTTTAAAAGTTATGTTTTGATTTCTTTACCCCATTTGAAAAACTTTTATCTGGTTTTACGTGGACTTTAAGCCAGTACAGCCGCTAAATGCAAATTGAGGTGGAGTAGATCTCATGTCATCTCGCCTCAGATTTTCATGTGTAAATGGATGCGGATCAAGCAAATCTATAAATACTTGAAAACATTGAAAATTGATAATTCATATGTTGTGTTACAAGATGCACCATTTTAAAACTAAAAATCTTTTTTGTTTTCATATTTATACATCTCGAGATCAAGATGATCAATCGGAGGGTTTTTCAGCATCCAAACAATCTTTCCGTTATGAGGTGGCCTCACTTTTATAATATGAAGTTGACATCATTGAACTTTTTCCTTCTAGAAATTCTCACCTGATATTCTCATCTAGAAAGCCTCATCTGAAATTCTCATCTAGAAAGCACTTTCAGCCTTAGAAATCCTCATGATTGCTCTATAATTGATTTCCAACACCAACAATAAAATTTGAAACTAAAAAAATGCCAGAACTGAACTAAAAACAAGTTTTTTTTGGCCAAAATGGATGGTCTAGATGATTTGTTGCAATATACAATATTTTTAGAATTTAAATTTCTATTTTTTTTCGCACATCGATAATGTTTATATTGAGATGATCAACTTGAAGGTTTTTCAACACTTGAGTTGTAATTTTTTATAAATTATGAGGTGAGGCTTTATTTATTTTGATGGGGTTGCAGCCCTATCAAACTATTTTCCTTAAAAAAAACTCAAATAGTGTATAATATATATTTGGTAATGAAATTTGATAATTCATTATTTATTGGGTGCAACTTCTTCAAGAGCGAAATGACTGAAATGCCCTCACTCTCCAACAAAATAGTTTGCCATTTCTCATGCCACAGATTTGCTCCCTCTCCATTTTATTTGACTGCATTCTTCCTGTTTTAAGCTAAATCCATCTCCTAAAACCTGGCAAAATCTAGAGGAGTTTGCTTCCCCTTATGAGGGGTTGAAAAGAAATGTTCCATTAACTCCCCAAAGAGAAGATCCTTGTAAATGGGTTTCCCATCTTTTTGTAGGAGTCCCGGTAATGGTCCAATCTTAGTGTGAGGCCGAGGGCCTACGAATATAGGAATCGAGATGCGATTGGTGTTGCTAGCTCTTGCCATGTGCTCCACACTCTTGTATTCTCCATTGCTCAGTATCTGCAAAATCAATGGTTTACTATTATTTGCCTTGAAAGCCTGTAATGTTTTATGATTTTTAATTATTTTTTAATTTTTTTTACCTATTTTTAACGTAATCCTTTTTTTTAAATTTTTGTCCTTCGGCCGAGTAACTCGCCTTAGCCTTTGCGTTGCTACCTTTGCCGAGGTGATTTCCATGACATTGGTTTGGACAGCAACAATAGGGATATTCTTGGTTCATCTATTGTAAAATAAGGGGTAAATAGCCTTTGGATGGGGTTTCTATGAGTCAGCTGAATATTTAATATATACACGTGCTTTGTTTGTTTTTTTTGCACCGTTCATATTTGATCTGACCCGTGAGTTTTAGACAATGTTCATAAAGATGGATGTTGAAGAGTCAACGGGTGCAAGAGCCCACTGACTCATAGAACACTTTTCCCTAGCTTTTTATGGTAAAGTGTTTGGTGCGTCGGTCAACCCACCTGTAGATGTACGCCCCCTTCAAAATCCATCTTATAGATGAATTTTGGATCCAACATTTTGGCATTTGTTAGTCCGAGCTATAGTCGTGATTGGTAATATAGAACATTGTCCTCTAGGAAAAATAAAATTCTATCGTTGAATAACTGTTTTCCACCATCCATTTTGACGTATAATAGAAGCACCCCCTTTTGCCTTTCATCTCTAAGATGAACGACGGATATATGATGAAAGAGGAGACGCATATGTTTTCATGAGTCGGCTGACTAACTAGACCATGTCCTTTTTTTTTTTTTTCCTTCAAAAGTTGGCACAAACAATGTATTTTACTTGTTGTTTCCTCTTGTTTACTAGGCAAATATCCTTAACCTTCCATGTTTCACGTCCCATACAACATACCCATGCATTGTGGACATACCTCTAGTGTAGCACCAACGTTCACTATGAGAGCACCAGGCATGGGGGCTATCTCCACCCACTCATCCTCTATCTTGGCTTGGAGACCTCCAACGTCATCCTGCACTAGAAGTGTAATGACACCGAGGTCTGAATGTGGACCCACCCCGACCGTGAGTTCAGGGTTCGGACAGACCGGATAGTAGTTCAAGTTCACTGCCTTGGGTTCTATGTATGCTTTTATGAGCTCATCGTCTACGGTCACACCAATTCCCTTCAAGAGGGATTCAAATATGAAAGAGATAAGGGGCTGTTGCAGTTTTAGGTACTCTAGAAGCACATCCCTGCAAAACTGAAGGTTGGTAAAACACTAGCACTCAACCCCCTCTGATGCAGGGGTACACAAGATGAGAGAGATAATCAATTACTTTTATCAAATTCAAAATGGTAGGGTTTAGGTGTGTATAACCATGCACATATCAGGGCAATATGTTTGAGGCATCAGTACCTAGGGGACCGACGCCCAAGTACCGATGCCTCCGCATTTTACATCCCACCCTCCATTCCCACCATTAATATGTCAAAAAAAAAAAACACACACACACATTGTATGGAGTTTACCTTCCTGAACTCCATCTTGGAGATGGGATTTAGACCCAAATTTTGCATGTTTATCATTTTGACTATCATGATCATGAATATTGAAAAAACAAAAAACACATGAATTTTGAGATTTAATATGGTCAAATTTGTAATTTTTTTTTTTTTAGCATTGTTCATTTAATTTATTCAAGGATCGTGAGATTACATGGTTTTTGAGTATCGAAGTTTAGGAATCTAAGCCAGAAATGATTTCACAGTGATTTTTGATGTATTTTGGGCCCTAAACCCCTTGAAAAGCAAAACATATGCTTAACTTGGCCAATACCATGAGATATGTTTCCAATTTAAATTGGTGCACGAGTTATTCCTTTCTATGGAATTAACATATCTGAGTAGCGGAGCACATAACATCCTCTATAACCGGCTTTTTATAATAATAATAGTATAAATTAAAGGGGAAACAAATTTTGAATGGAATAATGAGAATAAAGTACACGACTAATAAGACTATTTTGTTAAGGGATTGTATATGATGAGACTATTTATCTTTGGTATAAAGAGGTCACAACTACTTATAACAATTTAATGCGAAATTGATAGCTTTGGTGCATTACAAAGTTCAAAAAAAAAATTGATAGCTTGGGTATGTAACAAAGTTCAAAAATTTTATTTTGAAGTTTGAGCTTGGTCAATAGAATAAATGTACCGACCCAATTTCACATCTAGATCAAGATTAATTGCGACCACCTTATACCAAAGATAAATGGTCTCATTGTATACTTTTCTTTTTGTTAAAGGACACTCATATTGTGCTCCTTTAGTAATATTGTTCACTTGTACTGCCTTGGTTGGAAGACCTTTTTGGGAGAATTTTTTGAGTCTGTAATTTTGAAAACAACCTAAAAATCGCCTAGATGAAAAACAAAAAAATTGAAATATGAGTTTCTAACAGTTAGATCTCACCATCTAAAAATTAGACGGTTTGTATTCAATCTCGAGACGTTATTTTTTCAAGTGCATGGTGCAATTAGGAATTTTTTTTATCAAGGTTAATCTATGGGTTGAAGAGGTTACATCCCCAAAATTTGGGATCCTAAAAGTAATTCTAGGTAGGATTTTTATCCAAGGGAGTAAATGGACAATATACTCCCACCGGAGTATAATACCTTTTGGGTTTTTTATAAAATATGGATTGGATTGAGCTGGTATTATGTTTTAATGTCCAGAGTCTGCATGGACTTGAAGATATTAATGTGTCAAGTGTGAATAACTGATGTAAGGATTGGACCACGAGACCAATTGTCTTTATTATAAGGAGCTCATAGTTCCTCATAGTTGTCAAATTGAAAGGCTTGAGGTATGTCACAAAGTTCACAATTTCCTTTTAAACTTTGAGTCTAGTCGATAATACTCTTACAACTACCTGATTGACCTAGACCCAACCCGACAAAGATCGACTTGGACCTAATCAAGTCCCAAGTTGGGTCTAGGTCCAACCTTTGACTTGCTAGGATGGGTCTAGGTTAGGCCCAACCTAGACCTAACGTGACCCATTTACATCCCCAGTCAAGAGGCCAAACCCCCTTGATGGTAAGTGAAGCCAAGAAAAGTATAGACATAAAATTTCAAAATGCAAGCCTTATGCTCTAGTGACCTTGGTTACAAAAAACGAACCATACTTCCATATCTAACTGGATAGATTGTCAACCATTGTTTAGTTGGTATAGTCTAAAAAAAATCGGATTTGGTTGAGAACCAACTAAAATCAATATTTGACTGTTGGGGCCTATCGGTTTTGACCATCAAAACAAAGTCGGTCAACTTTTTTACAACACATTTCATATTTTAAAACTGTTATTTTTATTCCAACTTTTTTAATCATATCTAACTGTTTCGAACGATGGTAAGATGGATTTGATTAGACCCAACTCCTCATCAGTTTTGTAACTTACATTGCCACTGGTTACTGACCCTTTGCTTCAATTTCAATCTTAAAAGAGGCAACGGGAACAAACACTCACTCCCCTGTGTGAATTTAGAGTGACTTACATAAGGACTTTAAAATTTTAGGCCACTATGTGAATTTAGAGTGATTTAAATATAGACTTTAAAATTTTAGGTAAACTACGAAATGCTCCACTTATGTGGAGAAATTACGAAAAAGGTTGGTCAACCCGTTTTTTTATTTTTTTAAAAAAATTACCCCTGGTCAACTTGAATATTGATTTTTTAAAAATGTTTTTACTTTTTTTGTTAGTAGGGCAGTGCTTTAAAGATTGGGACATTGCCCTACTAACGAAAATACTAAAAAATCAAAATTCGAGTTGATCGAGAGGGAAAAAATGTGGGTTGACCAACTTCCTTTGTAATTTTTGCCTATAAACGGAGTATTTTGTATTTTACCTAAAATTTTAGAGTCTGTACGTAAATCACTCGAATTGAAGAGATCAAAGCTTTTTACCTGTATTCTGGAGGCCAAAATGCACGGGCCTCGTCCTCCCCAAAGAAAAACATTATGATATAATCTTTCCATTCCAAACATTTCTCAGATTCAGGAGTAAAGCTTGTGCCTAAGAACACATTCTTGCAAGGTGAGACCCCTTTCAAATAACAAGCCTTTTTCTCAGGTGGCAATTCAAAGAACTCAGAAGTTGAATCCATTAAGCGTTTGACAAGGTCTTGGGGCACACCATAGTTGATCACATGAAAGAAACCAAATTTCTTTGTCGCCTCACAAATTTCTTGGGCAATTGAGTTCTTGATTGAGGCATCACTGAGACCAGAGAGATCGATTATAGGCAAGGTTATGGTGCTTGAGATCCTCTTGAAGTCGGCGAGCTTTTCAGGCGGGTGGATGTATCGGTTAGGGATGTGGCTTATACCGGCATCGACCAATCCCTTCACTCCGTGCCCCGTCCTGACAACAAATTCAAAGAGTTGATCTTCGTCGGAAGCAATGTGGGCTATGGAGTTGTCGGGAGAGGCCGCCATGACAGAAGCTATGACAGAAGCTGTGTGAGAGAGAGAGAGAGAGAGATGAGGAAGGATAGAGAGGGAGAGTTATTTAGCTTTTTAATATCCAGCATGCTGACAGAGTAGATAAAGATGAAGCATCTAAAATGGGTAGTTTTACTATGCGTGCTTCTTTTTTTTTTATTTAGCTGTTGATATCGAGCATGCTGAGTAGATAAAGATGAAGCACGTATAATGGTCGTGTCAATTCTGTATTTAACATAATATTTAAATAGTTTTTGTATTTTTGAGTCGGGTCTAGGTCGGGTCTTAGCTTTCCATTTGTTAATTGGACCTCATAATATATAATATATGATCGCAAAAGGTCATACTAATATCATGGCTATGAGGCCATCGTTGTCACATCAATGGGCTTGACGGCGATGGAAGTGTGAATATAACAAAAAGTTACTAACTCGCAGTAACATCCAGGGGGAATAGCGGGTCGCTGATCTGGATTGCCCATCCAGATTTATGACCTGGACCTAACCCAATTATTTTAAAATATTATATAGTATTTTTATATATAAAATATATAAAAGTTAATATTGTAATATATACATACTCTTTATATTCTTTTAACATTCTTTTTATAGCCTTACCCACCCCTTATTATCTTCTTTCTTTCTTATTTGCAAATCTTCTTATTTGTCTTAAATGAGAAGATTGATTAATTATGGCTCAAATCGTCTTATTAGCTATTTACATATTTTTGGTAATATTTAGTAACTTTTGGGTACATATTTTTAGGTAATTTTTTAATGTTTATTTAATTTTTTTTTTTTTATGTATAATTTGTCAGATCTAGGTCCGGGTCAGGGTACAGGTCCTTCCAATAAATTCTAGGTTGGAGTCCAAATATTCTGGACCCGGTCGAATCTAGGTCTAGGCCTGAGTCCCATGTATGAGTGTCAGGTCCAGGTCGTGATCCAGGTGAACTCAGACCCTAGTCGACCCCTTCCCACCCCTACCTAGAGTGCAAAAACTCATATGTCATATCCTTAGTCGATTGGCACATGCCTAGAACCATAAATATGCTTCTCCAAAATGCAAAAAAGCTGTAGTCAATAGTTACTCAGCCCATCTCCAATGTCCACCTCTACAACAGTTGATGGAGAAGAACCCTTCATGGCCCCATGTTGCTTGAAGATGGACTGAGGTAAGATTAACACTAACAAGTTGGAGACGAGGAGCAATGATTCTACACACATTATTGAATAAGGTGGTAATTTTAATTGTAAAATAAAATTGTGGTGATCTATATTTTTCATTTTAGTTACATAATTTAGATCCAGTATGTATCTTAATATAAAAAATGACACACTTGTAAAGACAATGTCAAAGGTACACCATCTACTTAAATGATTGTATGCTATAAAATCATCCACTTTTGGTATAAGGAGGTCACAATCAATTTTAAATTTTAGATGTGAAACCATTGACGTGTGTCACTATGTTCAAGAAATCTTACTTTGAACTTTACGCCTAGTCAATAACACATCCCAAACCACTCGATTTCATATTTAACAGTCAATAATGATTGTGCCCCTCCTTGTATCTAAAGTAAATAATTTTATTTATTGGGTGATGGTGGTCATTAAAGGCCTTATGAGTGCTTGTAAAATGAAATGATATAGTGGAGCATGAACTTAGTAGGATTGTGGTCCCTCGGGGATCATACTAAGCATGATGTTTGTAGATATCAGACTGTGCTTGATGGTCTAGGCCAGTCGGTTAGGAAAAACCCATGTTACTTGGGCATAGAGTATAAACCGATAAGAGTTCTAATGGGTCAACCTTTGATGAGGTCGGAGTATACCTGGATGAGTGAGCTGAGGAATTGTATGACTCTTGAGTGTGATGGTGGCCTTCAGAGATAAGGGTCAAAGCCTCATCCATGTACCATCACACGGCATGCATATTGATAGATCGTTTCAAAAAAGCAAACCACCTTTCATGGTGAAGCGTATGCATATGTGAAAGATACCCTTATGCGCGCATAAAAGCTATGGTTGCATCACGTCTAAGTGACATTGACCCTTCTCTAGGGGAGAACCTAAAATTCACAGACTATGATTGTGACATCTTAGCTCATCAGCCAGTGTTTGCTGACCCACTAATGAGTCCTTGCATGAACTGTGGGTCATGAAAAACATTGGGTCGTTTGATAAAGCAAGTGTGGTCCATATTCCACAATTGAAGGTAGAGTGCCCCATTGTTTGATTGATTTAATTCCTATACCATATGAATCATTTTTCCATCTTAAAAATTTAATTATATTTAATTTATGATATATACGATTTTAGAATTATTATTTGAATTTTTCTAGATCTCTGGATATTTTATTTATCAAATTAAGATTTATAAAATCAGAGATATTGATTTTTCAATGATTTAAATATTCAAATAAATTTTAAAATTATTTTATTGAGTTTTAAAAATATTTAAAATTACATGGGAGCCCATCGTACACATGGGCCCATCATGGCCTAGATGGTGGGGCCCATGAGATCCTCTCATGGGTGGCACGCCCCACCCATTTTAAAGCTTTCTACTTTTGTGATAAGTGACTTTGGCTTGTAGGCCAAGTTGCTATATGTTTTGGAAAGGTATTAGCTTGAAGAAGCTTTGAATGACTTTTTGAAAAGCATGAGAAGGCTTGTGCATTATTATGATATGCACAATATTATATTTAGAATTATTTTGTTTAATTTCTACTGATGGGAAAATAGTTTAAGAAATGGGGATAAAGGTTCTAGCACTTTCATGATAGCCCATCTATGGAATAGATGGCTTAAATCTCTCACCCCACAAGTTACCTAAGATCAATGGTTCATATTCAGTCTCACAAGAAGAGGCAAGCCAAAAAAAACCCTAATCTTATTCAAAACCTATAAAAAAAAAATTGTCTCTACTCAAAATCTATACACCTTATCTTTCTATTTCTCTCATGGAAGCCCAAAGGGGAGCACGCCCTACTCTCTCATCTTTGAGATCTCTCTCTCCCATACATTATGAAAAGGGGCTAAGGGTTTAGGCTATAAAGTTCTTCTCTATCCCATCTCTCAACTATGGATTTATGACTAAAGATTTTATGGTATAGCAAAAAAAGAAAATCCATCTCTCTCAAACTAGGTTGTTAAGGGAATTTATCTAGGGTTTGAGTTTGTGATCAAAGGGGTCCATGTTCCATTGGTGTGGCTTGTCTTAAACTTGCTTTCCTAGTTGAGATTGAAGGTTGATCATTGATCCTGCACCATCGGATAGTGGTGACTCGGTGTGGGGTGTAACAAGCCTGGTTGAGTTAATCTCCGATACTCTCTTTTTGTTTTCGGTATTCTCTTTTTGTTTCTTGTCATATTTAATTATATTGTCTTTATATTCTCAAGAATAAAAATTGTAGATATTTTCTTTGTTTAAAGAAAATTGGTTTAATGGCATCAAGGTTTTTAAGATCTTCGATTTGTTAGTTTTATTTTTTTTTTGAAGCAAGAGTTATTGTAATAAGAGTATTGATAAGTGATATTTGCCAAAAGAAAAGAAAAAAAAGAAGTGAAAAAAAAAATAAAAAATAAAAAAAATAAAATATATATATATATATATTTCCTTACAAGATTGCATTAGTATTTCTTTCATTATTATTATATACATGTCCCTAATTTAAATAAAAATGTAGATTCCCTCCAACTTCTACGAAACAAAGTTACCACCTTATATAAACTTTTATGAACCATTTTTTATAATTTTAATTGCATAGGATCAATTTCTTAGGGAATTTGGCAGAAATTACTAACATAAATTATATAACATAAAGCATTTAATTTTCACCTCAGTTCAACGCACTGAATGCATGTTTCACGCTGTTCATAATCCAGATCTTTGATAAATTACTCTAGAAGCTGAAAAACGAAAATTTGTTTTCTCAAAATTTTGAAAGAATTATTCTTGGTCTAACATCGATCTGGCAAAATCCAGGGTTTTCTTTCCGTCGTGAGCTGCAGAAAAGAAGTTGTTCATGTACTCCCCGAAGTCAAGGTCTCTGTAAATGGCTCCTCCATCTTTTTCAGCAAGCCCCTGCAATGGTCCAATCCTGGTTTCAGGTCGAGGTGACACGAATATAGGAATCGAGATTCGATCTCTGGTGTTGCTAACCCTTGCCATATGCTCCACACTCTTGTATCTTCCATTGCTCAGTATCTGCAGAGACAATTAAGTAATTGCAGATTGTGATTTTAAGTTGGTGCTCTTTGCATGCTAATCTACCATTTCTTGGAAATGAATATGGGGCACTGAGTCCATTCTCAATGTTTTCAAACTCGGCTTTGGCCTCGGACTTGGCCCTGGCGTGAGCTGACTTACTCAGCCAAATCTGTACGGTTAGTATAGAGCAAAGGCTCTAAATAATCAAATTAGAGCCCACCTTCAAATAGTGTCGAGAATTGTGGTCTCAATACTGGAAATCATTGTGATAGCCTTACAATATATTTTTTTTTTAATTATAAAATTTAAAGCTTCAAAATTAGTGTAGATCGAGCAGATCTATAAAAATATGAAAATCTTGAAAACTGACAGTCCAAAAATGTGTTCCAAGATGCACTATTTTCAAAACTTGAAATTCATTTTTTTTCTATTCCCATGCATCTTGATGTCGTGATGATCAATTTGAGGATATTTGAGCATCAAAATGACCTCTTCTAGTAAATTTTTTGAGGTGGGCTCTAATTTTATTGTTTAAAGGCTCAGCTCTATATAAACTTTTTCATATAAAGAAAGGATTATTGTTTAATAGTATAAACTGATTGTGTGGGGGACTAGATTATCCTGCACCTCCTGCCTTGCTTTTGTGCTATTTAGGATAATAACGTAGACAACCACCACCTAAGCATGACTCCAGTGGATATGTGGGTATATTAGTCTTGTGCAAAATTAGGAAAAGAGACCGGGGTTAGCACTTAAATGATTTGCAACGCTGCATCCTAGGCTCAATACCTATAAAGGATAGTAGCCCTCTCCCCACTGACTCACCAATAAAATTACTTGTCTAAAAGTCTCTAGAAAGTAAAAGAAAAATTTGAAAGGCATTGGTGGTTGGGAGGGCGGATGCCTCAGCATAATGTCCCACCCTCCATTCGCACAGTTAACATATCAATAATAAAAAAATGAAAAAAATACACTTAATTTTTAAATAACCACATCATTTATATGCTTGTTACGTTCATATTTCCTTTTCATGTCACTAACAATAAATAATCATTGGAGAGAATAACCAGTGTTTTTAAGAAAAGGAAATGAGTGCCAATTTGTGTTTTAAAAAAGGAAATGAGTGCCAACTCGGACACTCAGCAATCCTAGCCGGATCATTGATTCTAGAGTCCGCTCGTCATTCCTAAGTCGGCTCAATGATTCCTATACTCGGGAACCAACCTTGAAAAACAATATTACGAAAAAAATTGGAAAAAATCACCCTGGGAATCGAGAATAGCTAGAATCCCAACATTGAATGATCACCCTATTTGGGGCCATTTGAAACCAAGGTGATTCCAAGTCAGCTCGCTGATTTTTGAAACACTGAAAAAAACTAATGTGATTCAGGCAAGACCAAAACTATCTTGGCCATCCATGTTTCACGTGACATTCAAAATCAATTCATTATGCACATACCTCCAGTGTGTCCCCTACGTTCACTATCAGAGCCCCGGGAGTGGGGACTATCTCCACCCACCCCTCATCTTCTACCTTCAAATGGAGACCTCCAATGTCATCTTGCAGCAAAAATGTAAGGGCCGCGAGGTCCGAATGCGGGCCCACTCCAACTGTGAGTTCGGGGTTTGGACACACAGGATAGTAATTCATGTTAACTGCCTGGGACTCCATGTATGATTTTATGGCCTCATCATCGATGGGCACTCCAAGCCCTTTTAGGAGAGAATTCATAATGAAATAGATCAGTGGTTCTTGCATTTTCAAGTACTCTTGAGCCACATCTCTGTAAAAAGGGATAAAAATGGGTGTTAATAAGGAAATTATTGTTCTTATTATTATCATCATCATCATCAGTATCATCATCATCATTGTTGTTGTCGTCATCATTATATAGGGTCGTTTATCTCAAATACAAAAAGGTCATAGTTAAAACTATCCCTCAAGTATGAAATTGGGTGGCCATGGGAATCTCACAGTGGTCGACAAAGTTATTTTGGACTTTGAGCACAGATAATAACATAGCCTAACCACCCAATTTCACATTTAAGGGTTAAGAGTGACAGTGACTTTTTCTCTAAAGATGACCGGTCTTCTTGTAGACTTTTCCTGTTTTTGTTGCCGTCATTATTGTTGTTATTGTTATTGTTATCATCGTTATCGTTATCCTTGTTCTTGTTGTCGTTATTAACAGTATTATTGTTTTTGGTGGTGGTAGTATAAGATGTCCCAAACTAAGTCCATAAAGAGACACAAGGTAAAATATACCAGTGAAATAGTATAAAGACATTTTGGTAATAAGGCTGGGTATGAAATCTAATATATTGAAGTTTGTCGCAACATTCAAAAAAATTTATTTTGAATTTTGTGCCTAATAAAGGACACATCTCAAATCACCTAATTTCAAATCCAACGGTCAATAATAATTGTGACTTTTTTGTATCAAAAGTAAATAGTCTCATCATATACATTTCCTAATTTTAAAATAAACAACAAAAGAAAAAAGTTTCGAATTATACAAAACCAGAGGCCAAACACCCTCCTTTACCTGCACTCTTGTGGCCAAAATGCACGCTCCTCTTCCTTCCCAAACATGCTGAGATAATCTTTCCATTCAAACCATTTCTCAGCTTGAGGAGCAAAGCTTGTGCCATAATAAACATTCTCAAAAGGTGAAACCTCCTTCAAATAATAAGCCTTCTTTTCGGCCGGCAATCTAAAGAACTCGCGTGTTGAATTCATTAGGCGATCGAGGAGCTCGAGGGGCATGCCATAGTTGATCACTTGAAAGAAACCAAACTTCTTTGTTGCCTCACAGATTTCTCGAGCAATTGTGCTCTTGATTGAGCCATCACAGAGACCAGAGAGATCAAAAAGGGGCAAGGTTGGAAAGTTTGAGACCTTTTTCAGGTCGGCAAGCTTATAAGGAGGGTGGATGTATCGACAGGGAATATGGCTTATGCCCGAGTCGACTAATCCCTTTACTCCATGTCCCTTTTTGACGACAAAGTCGAAAAGCTCATCCTCATCCAGTTCGAACAGGGCTAAGGAATTCTCAGAGGAGGCCACCATGTTTGAGCTGAGAAAGAGAGAGAGATAGAGAGAGAGAGAGAGTGAGGAATAGGCACTTACAAAGAGGCACTTAGAGGGAAAAGAATAGAAGAAAATCTCTAAAAGTAGAGAATAGTGGTCTTAAAACTATTTTAAGGTGTGTTATGGATTGCAAAGACTTAAATAGTGAAACAGGAGATAAACACAGATAAAAATAGAGATAAAACATCATCTTCTTCTTTCTTTTAGGAAGATAAACATTATGGTCCCTCAATTTTGACTGAAATAGATAGCTTTTAACATTGTGGCAGCTATGCGGCATGCCCTTGCATCCAAAATATAGAAATGTAGTGTAAATCTGGTTAGAAGCATCCACATCTTTGGATTCTTGGATGGTGACATGGAGAAGAGAGACCTCTTAGCATAGTTATCAAGACTGGACCGGATGAACTGCCTGAATGGTGCCTCGACCGCTCTAGTTTAAAGTGAAAATTGTATTATGCCAAAAATCACTCAAAACCAACATTTGATCAGTTTTAAAGGGTTGGGCCTGCACTTTTTGTTAACTATTTCATATCTTTAAATTATTCTACTGATATTTTTATTTTTTTTTAATTCTAGTCAAACAGATTCAACTAACAATCAGTCTAGTTTGACCATTCCTTCAGCTGATCCTGATAACACTTCCTCTAGAGAGATTATTTCTTTCTTTTTCTCTTTAGACCATGCTGCATCTTGATTCAAATAGGTTGAATTGTTGAATTTATGTGGCCATGTTTCCCGTTTGATTGAAAAAGTTAACCAATATCGTCTCATCACAAATTTTCTCATCTCTCTTCTTTTCCTTCTAAATTTGTTTTAGCTAATAACATTAGTTTATAAAATTTTATTATAAAGAGACATAAAAGTTTAAACTAGTATTTTAAAATTCACTGATTTGGATTGGAAATCAGTCGGGATCAAATTGGTTCCCCTTCTTTCATAACTTTTTTTTTTTTTTTAAGCTTGTCTAATCTTTTCTTTCTTAAGTTCCCCCCTAAATCCCCTCCATAGAACTCTCTTTTAATTTTTATTTCTAAAATTTTTAACATTCTCCAAATTTTTGATTTGGACCTCTGGATCAGCAATCCAACGATTTGCGATGGATCAGTGGGGTGGAAGATACACCTTACCGATCTGGATTTTGAAACATTGATTTAAACCCTATCCCATCATCAGACTAGGTTTAGAAAAATGTTTAACTACAATTAAATAAGCATAAAAGCAAAAAAAAGCTAGTTGGAGATAAGAAGCAAACCTTATGCACTTGTAACGTAGTATGCAATCACCTCTATTTGGATAGCCTCTTTCACTAACAACTACCAACTACGTAATTTTATAAGGGTTTTGATGATGTGGGCATATTTTTGCATAGGATCAATTATATTATACTAACGTAAAACTTTGTCACAGCTTATTATGAATCTTGAATATATTTGAAAAACATCATTCATGTAGTCGACTTCAAATAATTAAGATAAGACTTGGATATGATAATATTCGAAAAAAACTAAAAAATACGTCTTCTTTTTTTCTTTTCTTTTTGCAGTAGAGGACTCATATACTTTGAGTAGTCCCATCTTAAACAGATGGTTGAGATGTTTCAATGAGATTTATTTCTAGTATTTGTCGCATGAATCGGATTAAGCTGAAATTTCAAGCATCGGTTTATCAAAATAGGTGCATACTTTCTGCGTACGTCTGCATTGATTGAATGTTACTTTGTTAATGTGATTATATCTTACAAGTGTATATGTGAGAAAGGGAAAAGTAGAGGATCAAATCATAATGGGTGAGGTTTGTGTAAGGTGTCAACTTTATACTGTTGAAGTAAAGTGCACTTCAAAACTATGCCAAAAATGCAGTTTTGGTGTTACAAAAGCCTTGCGATGATAGGAAAATCTATTATTGCCCCCACTTATGAAATTTAAAGTCCCAAAAATGGTGACGATCAAGCAAATCTATAAACACTTGAAAATCTTAAACATTGATGGTCTAGATAATATGTTAGAAAATGAACTATTTTTTAAGACTGGAAATCCCCTTTTTTCTCTTTTCTATGAATCTCGAGGTCTAGATGATCGATTTGAGGTTTTTTTTATTATGAGAACAAACTTCTTTAATGGGGTTTTTAGGTGCACCTTACTCGTACATTTTAAGGTGTCAATTGTAAGCTTCTCTAATACACTGAGTCAATTGAATCATTAGAAGCCAATATCTTGTCTCTTGAATTTTGGAGATCAGCTTCTACCAAAGAGTCCATTACACCAGTCAAATATGTTTACCTGCAAATTTTCAATCACCATAGGTTATTAGCAAATTATAAACCCTTTAAGTAAATCTTCATTATAATATCAACATCATCATCATAAGACGTTATTCCTAATTATTTGGGGTTGGTAAATTTTTATTACAATATTTGTGTGAAAATAAATAATGTGAATGTTGACAATGTACCCCGTTTATGTTGTACTTATGCAAATCCTTGTTTTGAGATATTTAGTATATATGGATAGCATTGCAAATTGTATTTTATAAGTTTGTTTACTTTAATACAAAAAGGTCACAATCATCGATGGCTATCTGACGTGAAAATTGGGAGGCTAATGGTGCATAAAAAGTTCAAATAGAAAAACTTGAACTTGAAGCCAGGTTCATGGCGCAGCCCTAGGGGCCCTATTTCACATAACCATTGACTTCCCTCACTTAAATTGCTATGTCTACCACTAAGATGAAGCCTAAGTTAGTATCAAGGGTATCTAGATTTGTGTTTTGTGCGTGTTTCTACTTGTTCAAAGATATTCGTGTAGTACTGTTGCACTTGTGTCTTTTGTTTTGGAAATTTATCAAAATACACCTCACTTTTTAACTATTTAATACTTTTTCTATTATTCAAACACAAGAGCATGTGTATTTTGATGGGCATTTTAAAATTAACTAAGAACATATAGATAAAATGTTGAATAGTTAATACCTTAAAATGTACTTTGACAAATATCTTTTTTTTAAAATTTTTGAATAGTTTAGCAATGAAGGAGTCCACACCCATGATAAAAAAGAAACTCAAGACGTCATATTGTGAGATCCCGCCACCCTAATGACTTTCCCCTTAGACCATTCCTACCTATTTATGTCTTTTGTGTATGGCATTGATTGGAGTTGTTAATGTATGATTTTTGTACAATTTCTATGGAGCAAAATTTTTTTTAGGAAGTTTTTATCGGAGAGATTACTTTTTCTTTGGAAAGTTTGGTTGGGGGATGCTCTCAAGGAAAGTATAATATGGTCACTCAAAAAGTGTGGAAAAACCATGCTCATCTGAGCATATCACCATCCAGTTGAGGAACAGATGGTGATGGAGAAAGAGATCGACTAGAACATGACCAAATTGGGTCCTACACTGCCTTCGTTATGGTCCATCCATTAATTGGCTAGTGATAATCCAAGGGCAAATGTTTATGTAGGGAAATTTATCAAAACACGTATAAGAGATGAACTATTTAACGTTCTATTCATTTGCAATTATTTCGTTCCAAGATCATAATCTTTTATGGGTATTTTGAAATTAAATAAAAAAAATATGGATAAATATTAAATTGTTCATCCCTAATGTATGCAGCAGTTGTGGTTGTACTATACCTTCACTACTTTTTAACAAAATCTACATGCAAATAAGAAATCACATTCTCTCGTAGGGCTAAACTATCAAAATGCCATTGCTTATTCATGGTACATTTTCGGAACAAGGGCAACAAGTACTGAGTGAATGGAAACTTACAAAGTAACCACTCTAACGCTAAACTGGTAGATTTGGTCAACTAACTTATTTTTTGTATTCACCAACTTAGTGAATTTCACAAAAATACAAAACAATCTTTTGCAATTTTTATGAGATTTTTTGTTAATAAAAAAAATATATTATTTCCCTTTTCTTGGAAAGTAAACGTAAATACCTTTTTACATATATTTTTAAGAATGTTCCAAAAATTTTAAAATTTACATTTTGTCTTCTTTTTTACAAATATGTTTTTTCACATATCACCCATTAGTTGTGCCCAAACTGAAGTTGGTTTTTACGAAAATCAATCATATGTATTGGAGTACTGAATATAATATTTAAAAGAATAAGTTTGTTCTATATTCTTAGTACCTTTGATAATGTTCGGTAGTGCAAGTACCAAACAACTTTAAAATTTTATGTTCAGTACTTTAAATATCGAATATTATTGTTTTGGGTAAATTATAAATTTTATGTTCAGCGTACTTTTAAATAGTACCTTTAACAATGTTCGGTAGTGCAAGTTCCCGTTTTTCAATAGTCCAAGATACAAACAATTATATCAAGCTATTTTACAACCTTGTAGTAGGGTAATTACGCCATATCATGAAGTAAAGAAAGATGAAGGAAATCGGGAGGTCTGGAGCACCAAATGGTGGCTTTCTTGAAAATTGTAGCTTTCTTCGTAAGAATATCAGCCGTCATATTAACTTCACGGTAGACATGACATATAAACCATAAAAAATTCTTAAGCCTCAACACACAATTAGCAGCTATTATGTGGAACCCATAGAGGTTTACATTTACCCCAAAAAAAAAAGAATATTATTGTTTTGCAAAAACCAACCTCAGCACAATTTGAAACTCAGAGTACCAAACTAATAGGTATTATGGGATAAGCACGTAAACTATGCTCCCGTAGGAGCATATTATGCATCTACTCCCTCAGCCAAAAGACCTACTCAAAAGGATTTTTTGCTGTCTTAAATTTTGGAACCATCTAAAACTCACTAGGTGATTATTTAAAAAATAATAATTAAATTTTAAGTTTTTTTTGACACTTAGATCCGGCCTTTGGAAAATTGGACGGTCCCTATTCAATATTGAAATATTATATGTTTCTAGTACAAAGAGAGTTGAAATCGAGAATTTGAAATTTTTTCAATGAGGTTATTCTAAGAAGTTACGTCCCCAAAAATTTGAGTTTTAAAATGACATGTATATTGGGTTTTACTTGAGAGAGTAAATAGACAATATACTCCTATAGGAGTATAAAATCTTGAGAAAATTGCTATAGCTCTCTAAAATTTACTTTCTAGACACTCTACCCCCACTTTTAACTTTCCCCACTTCTTTTTCTCAAAAACTATATTTTTTAACTAATACCCCCAACCTAAAAAAATAGAAATAAAGACAAAATTACCCCCCATTTTTAACTTCTATGTTAAAAAGGGCATTTGCATAGGCAGTCCGATTTGCGTAGGCAGTCCGGCATATACATAGGTAGTCCGGCATTTGTGACCATCAATCTGCCGTTTGCCTAGGCAGTCCTGCATTTTGTGGGCGTGGTCTGGCGTTTTGTGTACTGTAATAAAATCACTCCGACGTTTTGATGCAGTTATCCGGCATTGTATGTGCGCAGTCCGATGATATGTTTACTATAATGTGGGTAGTCTGGCGATTTGAAGTAGTGCTCCGGCAATTTACTTACTAGAATGGGGTCAGTCCGGCATTTGCAACATGCTGTCTGGCATGTGTTTCTAGAATGATGTTAAGTCTAGCGTTTCACAGCTTCGCTCCGGCATTATGGTCGATCTATCAGGCACTACGAGGATGCAGTCTGGCGATATCTTACTCGCGGTCCGGCGATATATAACTTCGGTCTAGTGATTTTACTACTGGAGACGTAAGTCCGGCATTTCATGGTCCCGGTCCGGCGTTTTAGATACATTAGTAGGGTGGTCTGGCGTCAGTAGTCTACAGTCCGGCGTATGTCTAAATAAGCAGTTTGGTATTGTAGAAATGCAGTCCAGCATATGTCGTAAGTTTGGCAAATAACAACCACGGTCCGACAAAAGTAGTAATGGGGTCCATCCAAATGATTTGTTCGTACGGTGAAAAAAATATATCACTTTTTGAGTTGGGGGTATTAGTTAGAAAAGGTGGTTTTTGATAAAAAGATATGAGAAAATTTTAGGGTGGGATAGAGTGTCTAGAAAGTATATTTTAGAGGTTTTTCAACAATTTTACCTAAAATCTTTTGGCTTTAGGGACCTCCGTACTAAGAGAACGGAGTACCCAACAAACTACTTTTATATTCGGATAACGTAGTTTGGGGGTTGTTTACCTTAATTTCCATGTTTTTCATCCGTTCACTTTCCCTAAAGAGTCCTACTTTAGTATCGCATATGATTTAAAAAAAAGATTGTATATTATAAGACCATTTATCTTAATACAAGAAGATCACAATCACTCCCAATCATCAAATATGTAGAATTCGGTAGCTTAAAGTGTGTCATAATTCTCAAGAAATTTTCCTTTGGTCCTTGATCTTATTCAATGCTACATTCTCAACGACTTGATTCTATATCAAATGGCCAGAGGTGCTTGTGATGTCCGTATGCTAAAAATAAACAGTCTTACAGTATATTTTCCCTGAAAAACATAGGATCTAGATCGGAACTGATTGATCTGAACTGGGAACGAGATGGATTAGCCCGGTTCCATGGAATTGCTGGTTATGTGACAAAGCCCTACCTTTTATTTTTATTTTTTAAATTTTTCCTATAATTTTTAAAAAAATTTAAAATTTTATAGTAGCCAATTCACTCACTTGGATCAACCATCTGCCGAACCAAAATGATTTTCCAAATGGACGATCTGGGTCATCGATCCACTTCTTAAAACCTTGTATCACGCAAAGTTACCTCCCTCTCTTGTGCTTTGGATTTAAGTTTCGAACTTCGAATTTGAATTGCGGATACGAAGTTTTTTTCCTGATCATCCATCAATGGAGTGTACGATGATACACTCTTACGTCCATAGATTTGTATATAGTCCTAAGGACCACGAACCACGAGTGTTTGCACGTTCCTTTGTATTGACCTCTGCGTACAAACTGAAAAATGGAGGTTGCCCTCTAACACAACATGGATCATCAAAGCAGAGGAGGGTCATGGAACTTGGTGCCAAGCGCCTCTCAAACCCTAATTCAAGATGAACAACAACGCTTTCATTCCTTGCCTTCTCAGTTCCACCTTTTACCTGTAATTCTTTTGATCTTATAATTTACTGGAAGTTGAGATCTCAAACCCTAATTCAAGATGAACAACAACCCTTTCATTCCTTGCCTTCTCAGTTCCACCTTTTACCTATAATTCTTTTGATCTTATAATTTACTGGAAGTTGAGATTTTGGCCTGGGAAAATTAGGGTTTTTTTCTCCTAGCTTTGCTTATGTGAATGGAAATTAGTTGCAGGATTCGACTTCCTCCTTTTATTTTCTCTGTGTTGTAATTAAAGTTTCTTTTTTCAAGTGTTTGTGACCTTTTTTGAAAGCTTCATAAATAACCCTCTTAACTTATGTAGCTATTGGAAATATGGTTTTCACGTGAGTATCTTCTTTGTTTCAGATTATTGAAAACTTAGCTGATGCGATAGAAGGTGGTACACGTGATCAACACTCTGATGCTCTGGTTTGTAATAAGTTTCAGCTTTTTGTTATCTTTTTATTCTTTGTTATTCGATTCTTCGAGTTTTGTTGCGATTATTTGCAGTCTTTATAGTACAATGTATGAATAAGAAGCAAAGATTTCAGACGATTAAGTACGTTTTTTATCATTTACTATTTAGTTTTTTATTAGTTGTTGCCGGTCGAGGATATTTATTGTGTCTTAGAAAGTCTCCATTTATTTTTAGTTATTCACAACTGGGCTGCCCTGTGTATTGAACAGTCACAATAATGTAATCATGAGTGGATGGTTTCCTATTTTCAACAAAAGTTTAATGAAGGCATAGTAGAATAAGAGAATGGATACAGAGTGAGATCCTAAAACTTGTGAGTTGCAAAAAAATAATGGTAAATCCATCAAAATGGAAGGTAGAAGGAGTAGTGGCTCGCAAAAGAGAACAAAGAAACCGTAGAGTGTGATATACAGCTGCTGCAGTATGTTCACAGAACAAATCACTTAATTGGATAAATTAGTATCACACTTACATGTCTAGTGCTTTCAGAGCATACGTCACATTCTTCTTGAAGAGTGCCTGAAACTCGTACCTTGTACGATTACGCAATTCCGGAAAAAAGTCCATACTCCATAGGGTTTTCACTTGGAATCTTAGCAGTCTAATTGTTCTCAAATCATTTATATTTTTTCTTATGGAACTCAGCGGTGTTTGAATTGTAGTTCACTAATAATTTTTACTTCGGTTTTAAATAAGGGTTATTAATATCAGTTCTAATGTTTCTTAGAAATAGCTTGATTTTTTTGTCAACTATGTCGGAGAGAATTTCAAGGGGCGAGATTTTAGGAGCACGTATATGAGAATTGTGAGAAAGAGAGACCATTAGAGAAATTTTAAGAATATTGTTATTGGATTTAGATATAAAATCTGAGAAATTTTTAAGGAGAAAGAGTTTAGGAGAGATTGAGTTAGATGGAGATTTTAGGAAAATTGTAGGGAAAAAGTTCTCATGGAAAGAAATTCAAATTCTCCCTTAAAAGAAGATTAAGAGGTTAATAAGAACAAAGATGTTAAACTTTAAGGGTTTCAGTAATTACTGTGAAACTAATTATGCAACTGAAGTTAGCTTTCACATCTTCCGACTGTACGTGGTGCTTTCGTTTTTTGTTCTCTTTGTTGATCAGTAAGGGACGGTTTTTTTTTAAATTGTCAATAGTATTTTTTTATCGATTTACATTTGACCAAATGGCAATTTGGTCAATTGGCATTTGCTCTTTATGGGTGTTTGATTGTTGCAATTTGAATTATAAATTATCATATTGTAGTGTTGATGGTGGTGGTATAATGTGATAGTACTGGGGGATTACAATGTGAAGATGGTGGTGGTGGTTGTTTTGGTGAAGCTAGTGGAGCGGTGGTGGTGATGTTGGTGCTGTCGAGGCAAGTAGGTGGTGGTGTGTAGGCGGTCGTGGTAGTGGCAGCTATGCAGTGGTGGTGGTGGTAGTGGCAGCTATGCAGTGGTGGTGGTGGTAGTGGCAGCTACGCAGTCGTGGTGGTGGTAAGTGGTGATGGTGGTGGAGTGGGTGGTGGAATGGTGGCAGAGGGGGTGGTGGAATAGTGGTGGCTAGGTGGTGGTAGTGGTGGTGGGGCGCTCAAGAGAGAGAGAGAGAGTGAGAGAGATTTTTTCCAAACAACTTGGGTTGGTTTTGCAAAAGTTGCATTTGGGTGCCCAATTGCTGTTGGGAATCATTCAAATTTGCAAATCAAACATCTTGTGAAGTTAAATTGTTCAGGAGAAATTTTCAAATGGGCCCAAATTGCAACTTGTTCGGAAATCAATAATGGTCACGTTTGGTTCGCGTTCACATGAAAAAATTCTCTCATGTGGTCAAGTGTGGGAATATTTTCATACCAATTGTTCTTTTTGCATCTTTTCACACCAATTGGCAACTAATTGATGTAAAACTATCCTACACTTGACCACATGAGAGAATTTTTTCCATGTGAAAATGTACGAATCAAACATGTAAGTGAACTTGATTCTATGCTTACTATTTTGAATTGTATAAATTCTTGTAATATTTTAGTAATTATTGAGTTTATTTTCCCACTATGATCTCACAATTGACATTTCCATTTTCATACAGGTTAGTGAGCTGAGTACCCAGTTCGATAAGTGCCAGCAACTTCTAAACTCCATATCAGCATCTGTAAATGTTAAAGCCATGGTATGAACTGTTCATTTAATGTAGTATCTGGTTCTGGAGAGCGCCTTTCATAGAATCACAGATATCTTTTATTTGGAACCATATTGCTAAACTTACTTTGTCTTTGTAAGTTGTTATGCTGACAATAAATGTTTAGCTTTGAAGCATGTCAAATTCTATGTATTAACGTTATATGTATATGCGTTTTTTGGCCTACGACATGAAATGCAGGTGTATTGTATGAATTAGAGTTTATGAGGTTAAAAATGGCTACTTGTCGGCTATCTAAACTTCAACTTGGGCATGTGTTACCAACTAGCTATTATTGCCATATCTGCTGGAGCCTCTAGGTCACCTGTAATGTTTGGAAATAAGAGGAATGTGAAAGGGTTAATATATGGTGATAATGGGATATGTCGAAACTCTTAAGTTTATTGCTCTCTTGGATGTGAAATTTGTAATGCCAGAAAATTGTTGACTGATCCTGTAGTGCAGTTTCTTAATATATGGTGATACTGGGATATGTCGAAACTCTTTAACTTTATTGCTCTCTTGGATGTGAAATATGCAATGCCAGAAAATTTGTCGAAACTCTTGACTTTGTTGCTCTCTCGGATGTGAAATTTGCAATGCCAGAAAATTGTTGACTGATCCTGTAGTGCAGTTTCTTAAGCGTTTTTCCTACTGCATCACATATTATACTTCAAGATCATACACATAGGTTAACTCTTTCAATCTTTTATCAGCACGTATTACTATATCTATGGAATTGTGTTTGTATCTTAAGGACACTCGCTAAAATGAAATTTCTTAATTGTTTTCTTTATCTATATCTTGCTTTATCTGTTAATGATTTTTCCACAGATTTTTTTTTTTTGGCGATATCCTCCCATTTGTTTCATTAACTAAAAGACAATAAACCACTGAAACTTTTAAAATCTCGTGCAATTGGCAATAAATGTATTGGTGTTACAATTTAGACTAGTATACTGCATAAGTTTGGAGGCAAAAAGAACACTTTTCACTCTTTTGTGATCTGTATTGGTATGAGCTGGGAAAGTAGTCCTTAATTCTTTTTTGTCATTTCACTTCCAACATATGTGCATTGTTACCACGCAAACTGCTGATCATCTGCTGCTTCTTTCAGACAGTAGAAGGCCAAAAGCGTAAATTAGAGGAGTATGAGAGGCAACTAAACCAGCGAAGGTTTGTATATTTGTGCTGTGGTTCTCTAGGGCTTATTGATTTTGCGATAAATAATAAATTGGTTCATTTCTTTATTTCTTTTGGGCAGAGAACTTATCGCTGAGTATAGACGCTCTGTTGAAGAGTTCACCAAGTCAGATTGCAACAGATAGTATATGTAACTCATTTGAATCTTTTCTCTTTTCATTTACTCATACTAAGAGACACGGTTGTTGCCCTTCTGTGTGATCTTGGGAGTTTGTTTTGTACTCTTATTGAGAAAAAAGTTGGGCCTTTTATTATTCATTAACTTATACTGCTCGGTATAGTAGGAATAGGATATGCTTATAGGAGTTTCTTAAACTTTTGTATATTGTATGAGCTTTGTTGGCAGAATTGGGAAGTTGAGATAATCTATCTGCACTTCAATGCAAAGCAAGTGGGTACGTTTTTGTTGTTATTCCACCAGATAGATCATGAAGAAGTGAATTGCATGGGCATGACGTCATGGTCCGAGCTTCGTACATTGACACTTGTTCTGCAGCGTTGGGGGTTTGCATCCTTCTATGGAGGTTCTGCTGTCTGCATTTCTATGATAAATGTGTGTGAGAGAGAGAGAGAGTTCAAATCTTTTTCTGTAATGCCAAATTCTAAATAAGCTAATAGATGTTATGCTACCTGGTATATGCTCCTCTAATGAAACCCCATTTATGTTTCAGAATCTCAAATTTTGGGGTGCAAGCTCAACCCGGCAATCAGGGGGAAAAAAAAATGTGTCTGAAAAGAAAAAAATAATCTCTTTGAGATTGAATCTGTATTGTCGAATTCTGGATGACCATATTCGAGTGTTTAGGATTTTATTTTATTTTTTCTTTTGCAATAGATTTGAGTGTTTTAGAATGTTTTTTCTTTTGCAAATACTCATCTTGGAATTCTAAAGTGGATCTCAAAATTTTAGATCCCATAAAACTCATAAGCAGGCCTTTTGCTTTTTGCTTAAGGGAGTTCTGAAAGTCGAGTTTTTTTCCAAATTGTAATACTTTGACTTATTTTAAAACAAAGGTATTAGTGATTCAATGTGTCTACTTTTAACACAGACATTTCATGATTCAATATGTGTACTTTTGTGATTCAATGCCTATTTTTGTTCCTTTCACACAATGAGATTGTGTTTGATGAAACTGGTGCCTAATGTCATTGAACCTGGCGAATCTCTAAAGGCGAACTTCATGGCATAGATTCAAATGAGGAGCAATTACGATCTGTGACAGAGGAAGCTCAGCTATGAGATGTAGTAGCTAAGATTAGTGGCCTATTGTTTGAGCAAATTAATAGCAAAGAAGATAGCAAAAATGCAATACTCAGGATCTTTGTATGAAAATTCAGAACTTGCAAAGGGCATACTTGAATGGAAAAAGTATATATAGGGTTGCAGCCTTATATTATAGAAGCAAGGTGCACTTCAAAAAACCAGTAGAAGAGAATTTCATCGACCTGGAGACTTATGGATATAAAGAAAAGGGTGTGGTTTGTATAGGCTCTTAACAATCAAAGTAGAGCGCGTGTTCAAATAGTGTCAAGAAATGTGGTTTTAATACTGAAAATCTTTGTGATAGTCTTAAAATATAGTTTTACATCTAATTATAAAATTTAAAGCTTCAAAAATAATGTAGATCAAGCATATTTATGAAAAATTAACAATCTTGAAAATTGATGGTAAAAAAAACATTACAAAATTCACTACTTTCAAAACTTGAAATCCATTTTTTTGTCGCATCCATGCATCTTCATTTTGACATGATAAATTTAACAATATTGGAGCATCAAAATAACCTCTTTTAATGAACTTGTTGAGGTGCACTCTAATTTGATTGTTTATAGCTGTGGCTCTATTTAAACTTTTTCCTAAAGAAAAAGAAGAATTTCAAGTTTTAAAAACTAGTACATATTGTAATAAGTTATCTGGATTGTCTATATTCAAAATTTTCAAGTGTCTATATATTTGGGATTTTAAGTTTTATAATTATGTTTGAAAAAGGATTTCAAACCATTGTAAGATTTCGGTCGCCCGAACTACATTTTTTGTCAAAATTTAGAGGCATGCTTTACTTCTATAGTATAAGGTGTCGTAGTATAAGGTGGACACCTGATGCAAATCTCATCCAAAGTAAATTAAAATAGAGAAAAGCATTGAAAGAAGAGAAGCAATGAAAAGAGAAATTGGCTAGGTATAATTCTTGAATTTTCTTATTTTGAAATTGGCCCATTTCTTAAATTAGAGTAGTAGGTGTTTTCGTCTGATTGATGCCCCATAGATGTAGCTCCAGTTAATGAATGTACAACCCTAATAGAAGGACCACTCATAGTAGCCTAAGAAGGAAAAGAAAAAGTGAAAACAGGACAATTAAACATTTCATTAAGCTGCCTTATTGTTCTTCAACATTGGATCAAAGTAGGATTCCTGATTATACCAGCATCTGGATATCAGATTAGGGAGGAAGATTAGATTTTCGGGTTTGATAGAAAGGTAGGGATATGAACGTGTCCATGAAATTATATATACATATATTTCCGTCGGAGTTTTGGTGCATAAACCCACACACTTATTTAAATGTGATCTGCTTTAAAATTCATTTTCATATACGTTTTGGATTTAAAAAATTTATGGGATTGTATATTATGAGACCATTCTTTTTTTTTTACAAGAAGGTCATAAACACTTTTAGCTTGTGAAATGTAATAGATGAAATTGTATCTCAACATTCAAGAAATTCTATTTTGGACTTTATGCTCAAACAAAGTAAAAAAGTAGCAAAAACACATTTTGTTGGCTGAAAGAACTTCCCATGGGAACGGAGTTGGGGTCGTGGTGGTAACACCCTATATCCTAGTCACCACATTAGTTTTCATTCCCAGCACTAACACCACTCTACTAATACATTAAAAAAGCTAACCCCTAATCTACTTGAAAAAATAAATAGGGGCTACAATAATTACCGCTTCATGCTAGCTGTTAAGTCGCTTTATGCTAAATTGAGTAACTCAAGATATGTCCAAACTATGAAGCTTGCTAACAAAGCCAAGATCCAGAGTGCTAAGCATAAAACTAGAGATTTTCTATGGTTGGTAATCCGAAATTAAAGTTGTACGAGGAGGATGAGGAAACATCATCATCCTTAAAGTGATTTTTTAGTTATTTGGGATCAGTTACACGAATCTTGATCCGCTATTCTACTATATCTTTTCAGGATAAATGAATAATAACCTATTATTCCCTCATTGCTTGTTGTTAAGAGCATTTTTGTGTTGGATTGTAAGCCTTTTTCATCATTGTTGGGTGATACCTCGAACCACAGATTAATCGTTTCTACAATGTAGAATGGACATGTTGTACAATGCTTGCACAAGCATCACAATAGAGTCACCGTAAAAGGGACTTACCCAATATCATTAAAGGATCAGTAAATGCAATTAACTTCAAGTGAAACAGAGAAAATTATCAATTTTAAATACGAGACTTCGGAGGATTAGTAAATGTAATCAATTCCTAAGTAACATAGGTAAGGAAAAGTATACAATGAGAGGATCGGTAAATCCAATGGTAAAGACTTGGGAGCAATGGTTTAAAAAACGGATCGGTGACCCGGATCGGGCTTCCAAAAAACCGATCCGGATTGGCGAATCGGCGATCCGGATCGGGAATCGGGTGAATCGGTCCGAATAAAGCTTCAAAAAAATCAGAAAAAATTATTAAAATTCATTATAAATATTGTTTTTTAGGAATTCAATAAGAAATGAGGGTACTCCATTAAGAATTTTCATGTTTTTGAATGAATATGCGAATATTGATATATTCTTTCCCTGCATGAACCGCCATTCAGTATTTAATTTACATCACACAAAAGGATAAACATAGAATTATCATGGAATAAGTATATCAACATACATGGACTACAATAAAGCATAAAATTAGTAACATACGATCTAAAAATAAAATGATAGACGACGTTGTTGTTCTTCTTGGTCACGCTGGTGCCATTGATTGAATTCGTTTAACAATTCATTGATTCGATCTAAAAACGAATCATCGATATTAGCGGGCCTCTGACTATTCCCAAATCCCTGAGTGTTAGTGTTTTGTTGTGTTCCCAATCCAAAATCCCCGAAGTTTGTCCATCCTTCATGCTCACCTGCACTGTCGTGCTCATCCCTACACTGTTGCTGTTGGGACTCGATATGTGAATAATATGGCTGGGATAGGGTGGCCTCAGAATCATCATCTCTCTCATTTTCTCTTAGACCCCCTTCCCACTCTCCCTCATTAGGTGCAATATCACCGACATATTGTGGATACATTGGCTGGCTGCTTCCTCTTTCATGCTGCTCATCACTTTCTTCAATATCTTCATCACCGATAGCCTCAAGGAACGCTCTCTTGTGCAACACTGGCTCCTCCTCTTCTACTACCCATTGGTCTGCAGTGTCTGTGACAAATATTGTGTCTAAGTCTATCGGCCCATAGTCTTCAAGCTTCCTTCTTATTTGTCGCTCTCTGAGGTTTAAATTATAATGAACGTAGACTAGTTTATGAAGGTTCTCAGAAGCGAGTCGATTCCTCCTAGTAGTGTGCAACCATTGGAACGTACTCCAGTTGCGCTCACAGCCAGTAGCAGAACATGTCTGGGAGAGCACCTTGATTGCTATCCTCTTTATGTGAGGTGCATCAGTACCATATATCTCTCACCATTCAGTTGGATTAAAATGTAAAAAGCATTGTAAGGGCAAGAACAATTCATAAGATTAAATATATGAATGAACAAAATATTAGCGAGGGGATAACCTGGATCCATCATAGTTCGAGAATTTCTGGCAAGTCTAGTTCCGAAGGATCCTATAGCATCCCTATACATAGCAAGCTAAAACAAATATATTACTTTTTAGTGCATTATTCCTCACAAATATAACAACTCAATGAAGTTCTTACCCGAACATTAAATAATACCTCTTGTATTGCTGCTACTTGGTTTCGATGGCTTCTCTCCAACCTTGCAATAATGTATCTGACCCCTTCCATAATCTTGTGAGGTTGTTCAGGTGTCAAATAGAAAAATTTTGGGTTGAAGTAGTAACCTAAAAAATATATAGGTAGAAAAATGTCATTTACAATTTCATAAAAAAATGATTTAAACTGAATCATTGTAATGATATAAATATATATTTACCAGCATAATGAATTGGGCGTCCAAATTTGGTGTTACACCTCTTTTCTATAATCTCGATCACTTTGCTAGCAAAATTACACTTCTCCCCAATAGTTGATTTCGCCCTCTCAATACCTTCATAAAGGATACCCATGGTAGCTTTCTTGTCAGCATTCACCATTCTTAACACCGTGACCAAAGGGGCAGTAGCCTCTACAACACTGGAACATCGAGACCAGAACAACCTATTTGAGATTATGTTGTCCACTTTTATACCGGTACTGGACTTCAAGAGGCGGTCATTTAACCACTCTTCACAAGTAAACAATCTCTTTAATGCACCTTCAGATTATCGAATGGAGTCCACAACTAAGTAATCGGTCGCAAAGCGGGTTATGGCAGGCCTGATTATCTCTTTTTTCTTAGAGTGTTTTCTAAACAGAAATAATATTGTAAAGTGGTTGTATATAAATCTCGACACCAACCTTGCTTCATCTAGAGTCTCCTTCACAATTTTGATCTCACCAATCTCCTCTAACATAAGATCGATGCAGTGTGCAGCACACGTGGTCCATACTAGATGCTGCCTCTTATCGATCAACTTGCTGCCCGCAGAAACACATGCACGCGCATTGTCCGTAATAAACTGGACTACATGCTTATCTCCTACCTCCTCCATTATCTGATCATATAGTCGTACGTAGAAGTTTGCATCCTTCTTCGTCCCTGATACGTCTTTGCTAGACAAAAAAGCTGTACCTTTTGTGGAATAGGCCAAGAAGTTTAAAAACTCCTTTTTGCTAACTTTATTCAACCAACCATCACTCATGAGAGTAATTCCTGTCCTTGGTCAACTCTGTTTATATTCTTCAATCCACTTTTTAACTTCCTCTACCTCTTCATCTAATATTGGCCCACTGAGCTCATATGCCGTCGGGGGTTTTACCCCGGGCCCGACGCTCTGGATTGCACTAATCATAGGTGGAAAATATGGGCTATTGGCTGCATCAAAGGGAATCCCTTTATCGTAGAGCCATTTACCAACATATCTCCCTAACATGTTTCTTGTACCTTTAACCATGCCTTTTAGGGTCATCTGTTGTGACTTAGGCTTTGAGAGAAATGGGTCTTTACAACCATGCCCTGCAATACTGGCACTCCTAGGTAACCTAGAAACAATTTCTTCAACAACTAATTCTCCTTGATACATATTGCCACTAACCCCTCCATACATATTTGAGCTGGGCCCGCCATACATGCTCGAGCTGGGCCCACCATGCATATCTGAACTAGGCCCACCATGCATATCGGAGCTAGGCCCACCATGCATGTCTGAGCTAGACCCACCGGGCATTCTAAACCTACGTTCCCTCTGATATTCTTCATGTAAACGCAATCTTGTGGCCATGTCCAGCTCATTATTATATTGCTCTTCTAGGTCATTATTATATTGCTCTTCTGTATCATTTCTGCTTGATGGTGTATATAAACTAGCTATCTCCTCATTCATCCTATGTTTGGCAATTTTTTTACCTTTGTTAGCATTAAGAATTGCCACCATCTGTTTTTTTACATTACTAGGGACACTAGTGCATGCAGAAACTTCTCCCTTAACCCCTGCCAAGTGTTGCTTGAACCTATGTACCCCACTACTTATCACTCTTTGACAGTAATTACAAATAATTTTGTCTTTCTTGTTAGGATCAAGTCTGACCCCATGTTGCCATGCAGCGTCTTTTGCAGATCTTGACATGATTCAACTGTTTTAAGATGTAAAAAGTATAAAATTAACCTGACAGTTCAAAAAGAAAAATAATCACCATGTGTAGTGATAATATGTTGCGGTAGTTCCTGTAGTCATATTCGTTGTTATTTGTTATTGCAAAATACCTTTTTTGACAATAATATTTTCGTACATATCAATTACAAACATTCAGAATAATATAATACAAAATGCAAGCTCCAAACATGGCTACAACTCAATTATCAAGAACATACATTTTTTGCATTAAAAAATTAATAATAAAAACAATTCTTCTAAGAGCCAGCTAACATCAGTCATTCCAACTAAAAAATCCAAGAACAACAGATAAAAAAAATACAGTTTTGTATTAAAAATATAATAACATGCATTTTTTTACATAAATAATCCATCAACATACAATTTTTTCAACAAAAGCTTTAACAATAAAAATTTAAAATATGGTTTAATACCTCATGATAATTAAAACCTTGTCACGATTTTCACATCTTTTCGGAAAATCATCATTTTTCAAAAAATTTGAACATGGAAAAAAAAAAAAAAATACAGCAAACTCAAACAATAAAAATTAAAAATCGGGTTTAATACATCATGATAATCTAAACTTTATCACGCTTTTCACATCTTTTCGGAAAATCATCATTTTTCAAAAAATTTGATCATGGATAAAAAGAAATAATAAAAAAAAAGTACAGCAAATTTTCAAAAAATTCGATCATGGATTAAAAAAAAAAATAACAAATTTTCAAAAAGTTCGATCATGGATTAAAAAAAAAAGATCACAAATTTTCAAAAAATTCGATCATGGATTCCAAAAAAAAAATCGATCATGGATTAAACAAAAAAAATCACAAATTTTCAAAAAATTCAATCATGGATTACAAAAAATTCGATCATGGATTACAAAAAATTCGATCATGGATTACATAAAATTCGATCATGGATTACAAAAAAAAAAAACATAAAAAAACAAAAAATTCGATCGTGGATTACAAGAACAGAAAAAACAATTCGATCATGGATTACAAAAATTCAA